TGGGAAACTGGCACACAGACCTGTGATCTGAGTATGTACATATGTCACTTAGCATATACCATTCAAATGACTTTGCTGTTTGTGTAACCTTGCGTCACTTGTATAAAACAGCTAAGGTCATATGAAGAGGGTGCCTAGGTGACACCACCAAAAGAAACCATTAGGGAAGTGAAATAAGAAAAGATAGATACCAAGTGTTGAAATGGGGAAGTAGATAAAGTATGGTCTCTTTGATAGCATCAATGAGGAAGATACAGAAGGAAACTATCGATTCTGCAGGGGATCCTACATAAGTAGTGCTATGGGATACAGCAGGCCTAATCTTTCCCCGAACTTGCACAGATTGACCTGTAAGACACTGAACTTCGGTTACTCAGAATTCACAGACCAGTGACGTTTATATTCCTTTTTGTTTTCAAGTTGACTGCGGACATCTGCCCGCGTTGCCACGTGGTCATTGGGTTGCAAATGCAACAACTTTTGGGCAAAGAGCTAAACTCGCGTGCGAGGAAGGACGACAACCAAAGGGGATAACAACCATCACGTGTGGACTCAGTGGGAAATGGAATAACGGCACACACACATGTGATCTTGGTATGATTAAATCCTACCTCAAACGAGTGCAATCTAACTTCCCATGGTGTATCTGTTTGGTATATGTCGTTTGTTCAGTCTTCGTTTACGTGCTGTCTCGTTATGTATTGCTGCTGAAGGTTTACACATTTGTATATTGTGACAGTGGACATGTTTTGCGTTGCGTAAATTAGCACGGAAATATAGATACGCTTGTATTTGTATATTATATAAAACTTTTCGACATATTGAATATATATATGTCGTCGACGCGAACATTTTCACACTGCGATCCATTTAAGGATTCACAACGCAGACATTTCCACTTTCATAGTCCCTTCAGTCTTAAGGAATTTGTCGTTATATATCAGNCAGTTTATATGCAAACCTTAGCCATATTAACTAACATCCTTTTTTTTCATAGATTACCTTTGAACAAAAATTGTATTTATATTTTCCAGTCAACTGTGGTCCCCCACCAAGTGTAGCCAATGGGCAGTGGACTGGCAGAGTTTACACCTGGGGTTCGGTGGTCAGACTGCGTTGTGACCCCGGAAGAACACTCGTCGGAAACCTCACAATAAACTGCACAGCCCAAGGACAGTGGTCAAGTGATGGGCAGACTTGTGTCGATGGTAATTGTCTTCGTTTTATAATCGGTATATGACTGTTTTGGAAAGGTCTATAAAATTTAAGTATTTTATTTCTTCGAGGATTTGACAGATTATAATCAGCAGCAACAAAACTGAATGCAATAAAGAAGCAAATAGAAAAAATACAAAGAAAGCCAACACTGGACACTTTGATATCCTTGAAAACTAACATCAAAACATAATGCTAAAAGGGGATGCAGTTTCCCTTGTCATGCGGAGAGTTATATAATTATTCAGTTGAATTCAGTCAATCTCTTCCCAGAGTTGTCGTTCTTGCACTCACTTTACTGACACCTCTGAGTAGAAACTGAGGAATTATGTAACTGCCTTTGCTAACGTCTATATTGTAAACATTGTAACAGATCCCAAGGTTTGTTTAGCTTCATACATGTACAATGGTTACTTCGTGTTTGTTCAGTTGATTGTGGAAACCTGACTTCGGTTTCGTATGGACAGTGGATCAGTAATGGAACAACATTCGGTCATACGGCCTCATTGAAGTGTGAGAGAGGGAGACAGCCAAGTGGTCACGGGAACGTCACGTGTGGACACAGAGGAACGTGGGATGACGACAAACAGACTTGTGATCTCGGTAAGTCGGAGGAACCGTTATCATATAGATACTAAAACTATAAAATTACCTTTTAATGTCTAACAACCTGCTTCGTGGAATTATGAGCATTTATATTCATAACGCCTGAAAACAAAAGTTTTCGACATCTATACCATGTGTGACTTATGGTTGTCCCAACCGTCGTACAGTTTTTCTTCGTTTAATGATAAATTGATCTGCAAAATCAACCTGGTTTTACTT